TTCAGCCAATAAGGCATTGGTATATATATATTACATATATACCAAGTTATTTAATAACACCGTTATCAGTAATCAGTAAATATCATTTAATTTATTTTTAACAAACAAAGAGTACTGGCATAGGGAATAAAATTTTCAGTTATTTTTCTTTTGTTTCGCTAAAGAAGTATAACTTCTGACTTGCGTACATAATACTTTCTATTAGTACTTCACTGTTACTTTTTATTAGTTATATTGCGTCTTTACTTCAGCCTTTGAAGTAGTAGAGAAGTACCCGTATAATTTTAATCATATTTTTCCTCTCGAAAATTTTCAATTTTGTTCTTGCATTCCTTTAACATAAATAATAACTCTTGTTAGCTTTACTTTCTTTTATCGAGCTAAGAAGGTAGAAATGTAAATACTTATACCAAATTACCGTAGTTGTACTTTGCACAACAATAACACTGGTATAATTACTTATTTTATCACTTTTACACTGAAGAAACACAACTCTAACTATTTAATCCGTGATACTGATTGGGCAGCACTATCGCGTTTACTTCTTGTTGAAAGCCGAAGAAGAAGACGAAGACCACGAAATGCTTCTTGCAGCTTCATTTATACCTCACAGAATGACACTTCTTTTAGTTTTGCCAACACTCTTACCTATGATTTTATTTTAAAAATAAATTTAATAAACATAGATGACAATTTTTATTATATTCATATATGTATTGTCAGTGGTAGACGAAGTTGTAGTAATCTAATGAACCTGTCTCTTGCACTACAGAGTGTGGATTCGATCTTCACTTCTGAAAAATACTGGATAAATAAAGATTTCTGGGTGTTTATAACATGCTTTTATTTTGTAACATACAAAATAAAAGCATGTTTATGTATGTTTATCAGTAAATTCTCACAGTACAAGCTTTACTTAGTTTTGAACGAGATAGAGTTACGTAAAAATAGGTCCAGAAATATTTATTACCTTAGTCTATGAATTTAATATGGAGACCACCGACTAAATGGAAACTTTACCAAAATTTCTACTACATATCACTATTAACAAAATACGTTATACGGCAACCGATCCTAAAACTGTATTCATAAGGGACACGTTAAACCTTCAACAAAACCTTTTTGGACCTAAATAGTTTTTGTCATTTAGTATATCCACTAAAAAGAGACATGGCACGCAAAAACACTGGGGACAATGTGCCTTGTGTTGTATTTTATCTAGCCTCAAAGGTGCCATTTCGGTGAAGGACAATTTTCGAGTGCGTAATTAGAGATTCCAAGTATTATATTTAATGAGAACTTAGTAAAAAAATGGATGTTATATTTAGTATCTAGTCAAAAAGATCGCTTAGCAATTAAAATATATCTGGCAAGTATGGATCACTTTTTTGTATTACTTCAGTATTCACACACTCTTCACTTCCGGATGAAATTTCGTTGATATTTGGCTGAATTTAAGCAATTGGCTGAATCCATTTACTTTTTACACGGATTACGTTTTTGGTTATCCCAATCACCAGGTGGAATGCAGAAATATAAACGGTCTTTACCTACTCTGATTTTCTGTGACGTTTTAGTTAGCACATTCCAAAACGATACGGCCCATGAATTCAAATGTAATATCTACTGTGTACTTTACAGAGTGTATGAGTATATACAGTTATGTTGACTATTATTAGGTGTCATTATGTTTTTTCTTTTAATTATACAACCCACCCAGATTAAATCGCTTAGAAAGTAACTAAAAAAACATTATGTGTCTGTACACAGTTATATAACCCATCCCGATTAATACACTTTTAGAGTAGTACTATAAATATAATTTAAAAACAAATTACAAAGTTAAAATCATTAATAACTCAACTATTTTTAATATTTAGAAGTTTGTACTACAATTCATTAACTGTGCAACATGAAAATATACTTTCACATAGCATAACATACACCGAGCACTACGGAGTCTAAAATACGGCTCCAAAAATATGCTTAACTTTTACGTGTTATCAAAATAAAAGGGGAGTGAACAGAAAGAATCACCCAATAGAACAAGATGGTTTTTAAATCTCGTATTTCTTTTGTCTTCTTTAACATTTTGCATACCGTAGAGCAGTATCCTGTGTTGTTATGACACTTTACAATCAATGTACATACATGGACAAACACTCAAATCTGGAACAATTCTCACAATTTCAATTCTGGTCGCACGAATGCTCACACCGTCTTGGGAAACCAAACTACGACCAGGGTCGCCCCAGCCAATAGCTTCGCAACTAATATTGAATGTAGCAAGCACTTTTGCTATAAGTTGTCTCGCACTTTAACCTATGTGAAAAGTTCCCTAATCAATGCAACGGATGACTGAACTTTAATTAAAACTTTGCAAAGCGCTCCTTTCTTACGAAATATTATGACGTTATCATCTGCTATAAGCTCGCGTAAGAGTTTAAAAAATTTAAGTGTAGTTTCTTAAATATTCCGCTGTAACGTAAATTGACCGGGAGATAATGCCTGTGGCATTAAGTCCGCCCATGTACAGTTTGTGCATTTCATTTAAAGTATAAATAAATAAATTCGTAAAAGACATCATATACAAAAGTTCAATACATATAAAGCCGCAGGTGATAACGGTTGCTGCGAAAATCGAACATTGATACAGAACAATACAACACGATACAAGAAGACAGCTTCTTGTATCTTTCATTTTATTCTCTTTGAGCCTTGAAATTTCTCATTTGGGTGAGCAACGGATAGAGACCTTAGCTAAGTGGTCAGTTGGAAATTGTACTTTTGTACTATTTTCCTCTTTTCTAAATGGAACACGAGTACTAAGCCGACACTCGCCTGCTTGTGGGAGCTCGGTTTAAGGTTTTGGTTTACAGAGAAATGTTTCAGTTGTTTTATATAGTAGGTCATTCGTATAAAATTTTATCTTGTTTCAACTCCTGTTTCAATGGGCTTCAAATTATATTGGAAGGAACGTTCTCTTTAATTGCATTTAGATGCATTCAATAGGGAATCAAGTCAGCGAATAGTTATAAGGTACAGATGAGATACTATATTATTTGGTTCAACGTTTTTTTACATCACAATTACTCGTTTCCCAAAAAGTTCACCTTATTTATACAAAAAGCAGCTGTAGTTAATAGAAATAATTATTTAAACGTGACTAGCCTATTTGGACTTTCGATGAAGATTTTTCGTACAAGAAACAGCATGGTTAGCATATTATGGTAGAAATTCAATTTGGAAAGAAAATCTGAGCTTTAGCAAATTTGCAAAAACGTTGACAAAATACACCAATATAATATAATAATTAACCAGAACTCGTTAATGTCATAATTTTGTTTTTCTATACGAGTGGTTGAGACGGTTTAAATGTTCTAACGAAAATAATCATAAAGCAAGTATAGCATAGCAAGATTAGGTAAACACAAACTGACATGTTTTGTATTCACCTTATGTTCATTGCTGTATCCGCAATAAATTTGTTAGACCTTACTCCGCATACAAAATTATCATCCAGAGCAACAAACAACCTAAACGAAGCTTGTTCTGAATGTACTAAAAATATAAATTTAAACCAGTGTAAATCAAATGGAGACCAATAAATTAAGATAATTGGTCTGCAGATTAGTTTAAAATTTTGGGCACCTATCACACGTACCGATGACATTATAATAGTTTAATAATTTTGCATTACTCCTCACTAGGATCATCTGGATAAACTATTTCCTTACGTAGAGGGAGCTGAAGGAAACTGAAATTAGAATTAAAAAGAATTTATAATAAAAAAAAACTTAAAAAATTAAATGAACTAGAAAATAAAAAACAATTTCAATATAAGAATAAAGTAAATAACAAAAAATGAGGTCAATAATTAATGATATCTGGGGTGCTCGATATCAAGACATACAAAGCACCCCACGCTTTTTTTACTGTTAAGGAGTGTTTTTCATTTAAGTTATAGTATAATTTTAGTAAACCTGCAACACGGGGAATATTTCACCTCATTTAACCCAATCCGTCTAATAAATAGCTAAATAATAGGCATTTAGAAATATAAGACAGGCAATCGACCCGGATCGGAGATCAAACCATTCATTTTTAGCTGTCGTAATCTTTGCATTTTAATGCGTATAATACATATTTGGAACGTTTACGCAATAATGAGTAACATCATAAATTGTTAACAAGAACATGGGTCTATAAGTAGAAACTTCATAACCATTATAGTTTGACCTACACCGTCCCTTCAGAGAAGACTATGCGTATTCTCAATGCCACGGTGTGAAGGCTGTTTCTTATACATCATTTAAATTGGGTGGTTTACTTTAGTGTTAATTTACATTAATAAAACAATATTTTCTTTTTACTATTGGCAAACCTGATTGTACGTCAGTCTGATGTTGTCGATATTCGCAGTTTCTCGGTAGAAGTTTATTCACACTCACCTACCTATTATTATAATTGGTAGTTAATACGGAAGACGACAGATTATTCTATTCTTTACTTTTAGTCGTGATTTTTCTTAACGTAAATATACTATTCTATTGCCTTGACTACCAGTCACTGAAGAGCTATTTTTCATAAGGAATATTATAATTTTGCAAAAACTCGACATAATTCAAATGATGACTAGATTTAAATAAAACGTTCCACTATAAACAAAAATAAAAAAATGTGCACGTTTCGCTGTTAGTTGTACAAATTGCTTTTTAAACTCATAAGTGAAGATGTGAAACCGTGTCAAGTTTTTCAAATGAAACATAAGCATCGAAAACATATTGTGCAAATGATTTCTTAATTAAACCTCTATTGTCGATCAACATACCGTTCAAGGATAATTGTGAAATAATATAAATGGACACATATAAATGTTTTCAAATCTTTTAATTGATTCGTTATAGAGCGACTAGACGTATATATACATATAGGTGTTTAATAGCTATCTTGAGAATTGTGGTTATTATTTTTGTAACTTATAATCTAAGCGTTTTTCAAGGCCTCTCCAACTCAGGCTTGGCGTGAAGCCTATTGTACTCGATGGAGCGAAGGATATATTCAGGGATTTCCTGGGGTGGGGGAGGGACTGGAAGGTGTTCACCCTGAAATAAAAAAGATAGTAATTACATCAATAATGACGAAAGTATATGGATGTGTCGGTAAAAGCTTTTTCAATATAGATATTGAATTTCTCGGCTTTTCTCTAGTGCGTGTATACTACATATAAACTTTACTCAACAATCAGTCTATCCATGGATGAAAACTGTTGGGTTGTTTAAAAGATCAAAGCGTACAAACATCAGAAGCGACTTTGTTTTACACTATGTGAAGAAATAATGGCATTGAGCTGAGAAGTTTAAATTACATATTTTTTTTAATTAAACCTAAACATAAAAAAACTTAAAAAATGTTTCCTGATTATGTTACCTGTGGTTGGTATCCATTTTCGTCGGCTTTGTAGGTGATTCTGTAGATAACACCATCTGGGCCAGTGTGTTGGTTTTGACCTTGAACTTCAATAGCTTCATCTTCCTGGAAAACGGAAAATAAATAAAGTTAGTAGTCTATAGTTCATGCCATGATATACAAAAATAAAAAAGAAGAACAACTATAATCAAATTACTGACAATTTTATAACATTAACATATGAAAAGCAACGTTAAAAACCCATATGGACCTAATTTAGTTATTTCCAAAGTTTGGATTTTATTGTTACGACAAGACACTAATCTTTTGATATTTTATTTTACACGTTTAAACTTAGTATAGACTTGGCATAAAGCTGCTATCATTGAATAGGTTGCTCCGATCATTTTACGAGACCAAGAGAAAAAAAACCAAGGTCTTCACAAATTCATTTTTAGAAACATACATCCCGTTTGGAAAATAAACGTTCGTAATTCTTCTTTATGTATTATATGGTATTTTAATATCAAATTGCGAGAAAATGCAATGAGTTATGCATTAAATATGGACGCAATAAAATTTTTCAGTTTTAGATTTGCCGGAATAACTAATATTGGGGAATATATAAAAGAACAATAAAAATAAATAAAAATAAGCTCCGAGAAAAGCAACTTTAATTTTTGCATAAATGGACATTTCGAAAACTAGTAGTTGATGGTGCCAGTCAATCATAAAAACGCTTAGATACAGGAGACCAGAAGGAGCTATAAATGCATTGCAAATATTTTTCACTTATTATATCTGATTATCTCCTAAATAAAATAGAAAATAAGAATACTTACGCGACCAGGGTTCTTCAATATTCCACGCTCCGCGGCTGCGATGCCGTTGGAGGTTTCAAAATTATACTGGAACTGATCGGGAGCTACATCCGCTTCCTGTTTCAGGATCACAGCATCCGCCTCGGGAGATCTGACGTAACTCTCAGCTGCGACAACCGCCACAAGGGCTAGGATAGCGACGAAGGTTTGCTGCGATAAAAAAACACTTATTTAGAGTTAGATCTTCAAACAGTAATTGTGTACTGTTACATAAACCGACTCATATAATATTATTACTTATTAATAATGCATCAATAATGGTCAATTGTGGATTTTTAAAAGTCTTAATTAGTTTTGAACCACCAAAGACAGTTTATTTAGAAAATACGCAACCACCGCACGTAATGTGTTAAGAAAGAAGTTGTTGTTAAATGGTATTTATAGTAACACTAAATGTTGCATAAATCAAATAACCTTTAAAGTTGATTAAACCGCGAGCGGTCATTGCGGTACCGGTCGTCTTAAAGATCATAAGCATGATGCAACTCGTGTACCCACACTCACCATGTTTAACGTGTCAAAGCTAACCGACTAGTCGAAACTGTGCTTCTAAAATAACCGAGCCTCTTTTTATACACTCCCGTCTCGGCTTCGCAACGCATCGTAATTTGCATTATTTTGCAACTAAGCTCTGGTCTCCTATTTGAGTTGTGACTTTTGGCAAGGCGGTTTGGTAATTTTGAATGACAGGTCCTAAAATATGACTTAAATTTATAAAACATTGTTCATCTAAAATCATTATTTATAAAGTAGCTAAAATAAGCAGCTAGATTCTCTACTGGCTAGGTTGGCGTTTATCTCTACATACAAAAACGGATTTATATTTTTGTTTTTATTTTTTATGATATAATACACTAGCGACCCGCCCCGGCTTCGCGCGGGTGCAATTTATTAATATACATATAAACCTTCCTCTTGAATCGCTCTATCTAGTAAAAAAACCGCATCAAGATCCGTTGCGTAGTTTTAAATATCTAAGCATACATGGGGACAGACAGACAGCGGGACGACTTCGTTTTATACTATGTAGTGATTTAATTATAGACCTGTGCTTCTGTGACTATAGCACCCTCCCATCATTCGTCTCTTCGACGTTCCATCCAAGATTTAACTTGAAATGTAGGTACAAATACTTTTTATTTTCTTTCTGACTTTTTAGCGCTCTTCAAAAGAAATATAAAACTTATTTAATTTAAAGCTGTGAGGGTTTCAAAATCACGTAATTATTTGCTCCCTGCTGACACTAATTTGAAAATTTTGTTGTTGCGTATTGAAACCATTCAAAGGTAAAGTTTATAAATGCCTTTTCTGACAAATTTTACGCTACACACTAACAACTATAACTCTCTTGAGCTTCACCTCGTTCCACGTCAGTCTGTGGCTCGACGCTTCTGCCACCACGGTGCGACGTCAGATTTACTAGGAAGGCCACGCTGCCATTTCCCTTGAGGATTCCAGTCCATCACTTGTGAATGTGATCGAAAACTCTCCGAAGCGTGTGACCAACCCACTTGCGACGCTTGATCTGGCTGTTGGTCGTGCTCTCATGGCTTCTCTCTAACAGCTCTAACATTAAATTCCGAGGATGTGACGAACAGATCAGTTGACAAAAGCCTGAATTTGGCTTAAGATAGCGTTTGTTACCTTCCACACTCTTAGAGCAGCACGGATTTGACATTGGACCCGAAGATTTCAAGTATAATCAGATTCCGTTAATGCCAACTTGATCTCAGTCGCTTGAACTTAACTTTGGCGACCTGTTTAGTGATGTCCTCTTCAGTTACTCGAGTCTCCGCCACAACGCTCCCGCGGTAAGTTAATATGTCCCTGTCTCTGTACATGAATCTCTAGACGCTGTCGATAAATGACGTCGCAAGTCTGCCATTTATGCAATATATTAACAAACCTATTACGTTATAAATGAAACTAATTTTACGGATTTATCGCGTTTATTTTTAATTTTAGTTCCCGACGTTTCGAACCCTTTATAGCGTTCATGGAACCTATTACGTTGTCCAATTCGAGGGAGAGATTAACAGAAGAACAAAGGAACCTTTCATGGGAGACGGTAAGATACTCGAATCGATCTTTTAAGTATTTTATTACATATATTATTCACATTAGTAATGAACATTATTATGCACCAACCACAATTTATCATCACGCCCTAGGTTGCCTAGGAGAGAATGCCAAAAGGCATAAAGTATAAATAAAAAACAATCTCAAACTTTTTGTACTCTATTCTATTCGGTGGTTGCCAGATGCATCGTTGGGGCTGGATAGCAAGATGCGTTAGCATTGTCTCTCTTGGCTCTCGTAGCCTATTGGCAGTTGACTCACATCATTCCCTAGCGCACCTTATCTGAGTAAGAGGGGAGTCTCGTTCCCACGGTTCTGCCGATATGCACCCTAAATGGATCATCGACGGTTTTAGTCGGGTGCGAAGATATCCACTACGACCATGGAGTGCTGTGTCTGTAAAATTAAGCCCGCGTGAGCCCCAGGTGAAGCGACATACAGCCTAGAGGCTCAGTTTCAGAGGAAAAAGGGGATATCCTTGGCGGCACTTGCTGGGATGCAAGCCTCCTCTTACCACCATAGCGCAAACCACAGCCTTATTTAATATCTATATGTAGGTGTAAATTATTATCAGGGCTTGTGATACAGAAATCACCGAGCCATATTTTAATTTCCTACACTACATTTTAAATACGTATTATATACGAATTTGGGCATTTAGCCAATAAATTAACTTAAAAAAGGCAGTACCTGCCGTGAATTTTTCGACAGATAATATTCAAACAATAGATGAAGTTGGATAATAACAATGAATATTAATCGCCAAGAATCTATTTCCTGAGTACTGAATACGTTGATTTCTCACCGATTTACATATGTTTTTGATTAACTCAATAGCATACAATAGTCGAGTTCTATTAGTGACTTGTTTGAGCCTAATATACAAAGATAATAAATATCTTTATGCTTATCAGCTTTCCTCTATTCGTAAACAAATAAAAAGCTTAAAAAATATTATACTCAATAGAATAATACTTAATTTTTTTAATTATTATTATTTCCCTTTTACCAAATGTGTGTAAAGTAACAGCCTATACATGTCCCACTGCTGTGCAAAGGCCTCCTCTATACAGAGGGTATCAGGGCATATTCCACCACGCGGCCCCACTGCGGATTGGCGGACTTCACATATCTTCAATTTTTTTTTGTTATTATTTCGAAAATATGCAGGTTTCCTCACGATGTTTTCCTTTACCTGAATTAAAGGCGAGCGCCCGGATACAAAGCTATCACGGCTCTTTTGATGATGGTAAATGGGTGTATATATATGAATATGACCCATACTACGTAGCTATATACTAAGGGTCATATTGAGAGTGTATAATGGTATTATTATTGACATACGTACATAATTTTTTTATAATAACGTATTGAGGTTTCTGCTGCACGTTGTATCCTCCGTATAATCTTATTGGCCTTGCGTTACATTGAATACGGTGGGAGATATTTGAAAAGATAATTTCAATATCATTCCCTTGTGAATAAAAGATCTGGCAATTGCGAGTCGGACTCATTCCCGAAGGGTCCCGTATCATTATCTATAAAAACTGATAAAAAATATGTTTGTTGTATAGGAGCCCCACTTAAATAATTTTTAATTCTGTTTTTTAGTATTTATTGCTATAGCTGCAACATAAATACATCATCTATGAAAACTTATCACCCGTGGAGACCTGGGCGGTATTGCAGTTCCTCCAGCGATTTCATATCGACTATAGGTATATCGAAGTTCTAAAGTGTTTGCATAGAAAAGTCACCATGTCCATCCGTCTACAGAACGAGAGCACGAAAGCAATCCAATTGCAGAGAGGCGTGAGACAGGGAGGCGTCATTTCTGCGAAACAGTTCACGACCGCATTGGCGGATGTTTTTAAGCTCTTGGACTGGGACAGATTCGGCATCAATATCAACGGCGAATACATCACTCACCTTCGTTTTGCCGACGATATAGTCATAATGACAGAGTCGCTGGAGGTCCTGAACACTATCCTCAGGGACCTTAGTAAAGTTTCCCAACAGGTGTGTCTTAGAATGAACATGGGCAAGACGAAAATCATGTCAAATGACCATGTCGAACCCATACCAGTTATTGTTGGGAACGATACACTCGAAGTTGTTGACCACTACGTCTACCTTGGACAAACGGTCCAATTAGGCAGGTCCAACTTCGACAAAGAGGTCAGTCGAAGAATCCAACTCGGATGGGCAGCATTCGGGAAACTACGCGATATCTTTTCGTTCAAGATTCCGCAGTGCCTGAAAACAAGGGTTTATAACCAGTGTGTCTTGCCGGCGATGACGTATGGCACTTAGACGTGGTCTCTTAAAGTTGGCCTTTTGGAGAAGCTCAGAGTCACACAACTAGCTATGGAGAGAGCTATGCTCGGATTTCCTTTGCGCGACAAAATTCGGAACGAGGAAATTCACCGAAAAACCGGAGTCACCGACATAGCTCTCCGGATCTGCAAGTTGTAGTGACAGTGGGCAGGCCACATCGCTCGAAGAACTGATGACCGATGGGGAGTAAAGGTTTTTGAGTGACGACCATGAATCAGAAGACGTAGCATCATAAGATTGGCGTGCAACCAGTGGATGCAAATGACAAAGTGTCGTTCGTTGTGGCGTTCTAGGGGAGGCCTATGTTCAACAGTGGACGTCTTGCGGCTGATGATAATTATGATGATGACTTATCACAAGTTCATGAGATTCAGCCTAGTGACAGGTGGACAGACAGAAAGACAGACAGCGGAGTCTTAATAATAGGGCCCCGTTTTACCCTTTGGGTACGGAACCCTAAAGAGATCATCTTTAGAGTTAGACCTCATTCGATAAATAGTTTACCAAACACAAGCAGAGTGCGTTAATTTCATAAATTTAGTATTATTATTGAAATAAATTGCAAAACCTGTATTAGGGATTTAATTAACAATACACACATAAAAACAGTTTAACAAAAAGAAATATACCGAGATCATCGTTTCTCGTCCCAACAGAAGGTATTCAAAACATGAGACGAACAAAAGCAGGTATTTCGAGATATAAAAACGAAATATATAAGGAAACAAGACGATTGTAATATCTTATTCCAAAAATATCACACGCATCACGCGTGGTATTCAACTGCCTTGAACTTTGACAATTTATTGATTTATTTTTAAGACGCCAACAATAAGCTTGATTCTGACTGACCTTAGATTATACAGCGTGTCGTTACCATCGCGACAATAAATGAACACACATATAGGGGATAACTTTTTAAAGTTGTGTTAAACATTTTAATTCTTTAAACATCGATATTTACAGAGTTATTAAATTTTCCAAAACAAAGAATTTTAGAACACCCTTACCTATAAAAGCGTAACGTAAAGTTCATTTGTAAAGGTCACAAAGCATATGAATGGGTTGAATGAATTTATAAGAGACAAAAC